TTTTTGAGAGGTTTTTGCTATAGGGCACATGCACTCACCAAAAAGAGAGAGACAGAGAGATAGAAAGCAAGAAATCACCTCCCGGAGGGATGGCCATGCCACAATCCCTTCTCCTCCCTTCTCCTCTCAGGATCTTGGGGCATGCATGCACACATGCCCAGCATGAATTTAAGCCACTGGGTCTGGGACTCGAACTGCAGTTGACTACATGGGAATCCAGCCACACAGCCATTATGCCAACTACTGGTCCCTGTTTCCAGTGAATTCTTAAATCCAGGAACAAGTGGTTTACACATTCAGTGTTACAGAGATATGCACTTTCATCAGGTAATACAAGAATTAGGATTCAATACATTACTGAAAATCAAGATGGAGGGCCAGTCATTGCCAAAATGACTTCCCAAATGCCAGACATGGAAATCTTACATTGCTTTAGGAGAAACATAAAACAGGGCATGTGGTTACGTTGCTGGACTCCCATGTAGTTGACCACAGTTTGAGTCCCAGATCCGGCAGCTTAAAACTCATGCCAGGTGCATGTGCGTGTGTGCCCAAAATTCCGAAAGGAGAATGGAGGAGAAGGGATTATGGTGTGGCCATCCCTCCAGGGGTGGGAGGGGGGTGTGATTCCTTACTGTCTCTCTCTCTGTCTCTCTGGAGCAAACATGTGCCATATAGCAAAAATAGCTCTTTTTTCTTAAAAAAATGGATACTTCTTTTCTTTCTTTTAAAGAATTATTTATTTAATTTTATTTGTTCATTCATTCATTTTAATTTGACCAGAGAGAGACAGAGAGAGAGAGGAAGAGAGAAAGCAAGCCACCAGATTCAGGACTTAAACCGTGGTCAGCCATGTGGGAGTGGCCAGTGCTTTAACCACCATGCCACCTGCTGGTCCCCAGCAAAAATATCTCTTAAAAAAAGGTATTAAAAAATGACTGGATCTTGCCTTAGTTTATGTTTGACAAGTCCATTTTAATGTTTACTAACAAAATGTTTACTAGCAAAAGGCATGTCAGCATTGTTATATACCTGAAGAAGATTCCGAATAGAATGCTCCTTGACAACAGCACCCAAGAAATGTGATTCAGTCCACAGACATTTCCTCTGGATCTGGTGCTAAACGTGCAGTTCACCAGGTGAGTCCTCTGAGCCTGCTGTTAGCCATGTGTAACCTGCCAGGGCACTTCATCATTTCCAAGCTTTCCTTCCACTTTATTTTTCTCCTTCAACTAAATTGTATCTAGAAACAAGATAGCCTTCTATAATTTTGTTTTATTATTGGGTTGTCAGAAAAGTCATGATGCATTTTTGCATAGAAAAATACGTATGACTTTTTAACAACCCAATAATTAGTTGGTCTTATTCCAGTGTAGGCTAATGCCGAATTTGTTTAATAGCCTTTGATTTTAGAATGATTTATAATATAGAACACTACATCCTCTGTAGAAACTTTGATTAATAATCTATCTGTAGCTCAAAATCAATTATCTTCCCATTTGTAACTATTCATAAACGTAAATTATAAGTCTCATTTAAATAAATGTACAATACACAGATTCCAAACATTCTCAGACAGACTTAAAAGTGAGCCATAAAAACATAACTGATTACAGCTTTCACCCATTCTGTAAGTAGCTTAGGGAAATAATGGTGAAATGTTGTTCTCTTAGGTCTTTTCATTTTTTTTTTAAATGCTTCTAAATACCTCTTTTTTTTTATGCTGAGAAATTATGTAAAAAAAAAAAAATTCCTTAAGCTGTTGGATAGTTTGCCATTACCTTGGTTGCTCTCAGAACAAAAGCTCTTTGGTTTTTGTTCTTTGTTTAATGTCCAAATATTCACCCACGTGTCTCAGGCACAGCGTTAGATCTGAGAGGGGCACTGGGATTCCCAATAACTGCTCTCAGGCAGACACAAAGGGCCAGAGGCCGGTACAGACTAGGCCAAGAGTGAGCAGAATATGCTATAGACGGAAGCGCACAAGCGTCTGAATTGTCCCTGTAGCCGTTTTCTGATTTCGCTCACCAGCGTTCCCCTCACTGCTGAGCGGCCTGTTGGTACTCTCCGCCAACATGGGAGCCTCTTCCCTCAGCACTTTCTGGTTACTCTAAACCAAGGTTAATGGAAGGTTAGGAAAGGCCTCACACACTCCCCTCCGCCCCACCTACAGGGCACACTGCTAAGATGCTGTGCTTGTGTGGCTGGGACCACAGTAGATGATCATATGCCACGGTGGAGGGGGGTGGTGTCCCACCTCTGGGTCCTCTGAACTCTGCCATGGAGGGTGGTAGAGGTTGCTCAGAGTCGCTGGGGTGGGCCGCTCGAACCAATTTTTTAGTACGGAACATCTAAGACAAAAATCGCTCTCCAGCGGATACGGATCTCACTCCTGATATTTCTCGCTGAGAGTGGGACATTTCTGTGAGGAGGTGAAGGAAACAAAGAGGGGGCCTGACTGGATTCCGTCTGCCTCCCAGGTTGTCTCCCGACAGCTGGTGTCAGCGAACTGGCTAACGTGGAGATGATTTTTCTCGAAGGTATTGAGAAACAAGCATTAGGTATTTTGGTTTATGTTTTCTTTCTTTCTTTTTTTTAGTGCATCAAATAACCTGATAAATAAATGCATACTTTGGGGGGGGCGGGATTAATTAGTTGCACCATTAATTAAAGTGTACAGGAAATGGAGCAGAGAGCTGATGGGACGCATGTACTGTCTCGTGCGTCTTTCCAGGTTATCTGAGCTGCTTCTCCATCCCGCAGGGTGTAGAAGAACTGAGGCAGCAGACTTCTGTCCATAGAAAGGCAGATTTATTTGGTGGAACTGCCCCTTAAATATTGGCCTACTTTGCCAATTTTGCATTTATTTGTAAATTCTTCTCAGTATCCCTGATACCCATATTAGTCTGCAGTTTTAGTTTTCTTTGGAAGATGTCATAACCAAGGGTCCCTCACTAATTAAGACAAATAAATCTGAGTTTATTTTATAGCTAAATGAGAGTCATGCTTACACTCACTTTTAGAAATCATCTTTTAAAAAAGTTTCTTTCTCTCATGAGTGAGGAGAGATGTAGAGAGAGAGAGAGACAACCACTTCAACAGGGTCTCCATGCTGCAATCCACCCCCAGCTCCAGATTCTCAGACAGACTTAAAAGTGAGCCATAAAAACATAACTGATTACAGCTTTCACCCATTCTGTAAGTAGCTTAGGGAAATAATGGTGAAATGTTGTTCTCTTAGGTCTTTTCATTTTTTTTTTAAATGCTTCTAAATACCTCTTTTTTTTTATGCTGAGAAATTATGTAAAAAAAAAAAAATTCCTTAAGCTGTTGGATAGTTTGCCATTACCTTGGTTGCTCTCAGAACAAAAGCTCTTTGGTTTTTGTTCTTTGTTTAATGTCCAAATATTCACCCACGTGTCTCAGGCACAGCGTTAGATCTGAGAGGGGCACTGGGATTCCCAATAACTGCTCTCAGGCAGACACAAAGGGCCAGAGGCCGGTACAGACTAGGCCAAGAGTGAGCAGAATATGCTATAGACGGAAGCGCACAAGCGTCTGAATTGTCCCTGTAGCCGTTTTCTGATTTCGCTCACCAGCGTTCCCCTCACTGCTGAGCGGCCTGTTGGTACTCTCCGCCAACATGGGAGCCTCTTCCCTCAGTACTTTCTGGTTACTCTAAACCAAGGTTAATGGAAGGTTAGGAAAGGCCTCACACACTCCCCTCCGCCCCACCTACAGGGCACACTGCTAAGATGCTGTGCTTGTGTGGCTGGGACCACAGTAGATGATCATATGCCACGGTGGAGGGGGGTGGTGTCCCACCTCTGGGTCCTCTGAACTCTGCCATGGAGGGTGGTAGAGGTTGCTCAGAGTCGCTGGGGTGGGCCGCTCGAACCAATTTTTTAGTACGGAACATCTAAGACAAAAATCGCTCTCCAGCGGATACGGATCTCACTCCTGATATTTCTCGCTGAGAGTGGGACATTTCTGTGAGGAGGTGAAGGAAACAAAGAGGGGGCCTGACTGGATTCCGTCTGCCTCCCAGGTTGTCTCCCGACAGCTGGTGTCAGCGAACTGGCTAACGTGGAGATGATTTTTCTCGAAGGTATTGAGAAACAAGCATTAGGTATTTTGGTTTATGTTTTCTTTCTTTCTTTTTTTTAGTGCATCAAATAACCTGATAAATAAATGCATACTTTGGGGGGGGCGGGATTAATTAGTTGCACCATTAATTAAAGTGTACAGGAAATGGAGCAGAGAGCTGATGGGACGCATGTACTGTCTCGTGCGTCTTTCCAGGTTATCTGAGCTGCTTCTCCATCCCGCAGGGTGTAGAAGAACTGAGGCAGCAGACTTCTGTCCATAGAAAGGCAGATTTATTTGGTGGAACTGCCCCTTAAATATTGGCCTACTTTGCCAATTTTGCATTTATTTGTAAATTCTTCTCAGTATCCCTGATACCCATATTAGTCTGCAGTTTTAGTTTTCTTTGGAAGATGTCATAACCAAGGGTCCCTCACTAATTAAGACAAATAAATCTGAGTTTATTTTATAGCTAAATGAGAGTCATGCTTACACTCACTTTTAGAAATCATCTTTTAAAAAAGTTTCTTTCTCTCATGAGTGAGGAGAGATGTAGAGAGAGAGAGAGACAACCACTTCAACAGGGTCTCCATGCTGCAATCCACCCCCAGCTCCAGCCAGCCCTGGGTCACGGGCATGTGTGCCTGGCATTGTCAGGGAGGGCTCCAGAAACAAACCAGCGACCTTCCCGCGTGGACCGGCCTCACAGTTTGCACCACTGCACCACCATCTGGCCTCCTAAAATTCACCTTTGGCTGTGTGCCTAGAGAAAGGCCCTATGAGGACAGAGAGAGGAGGTAGCCTTCTGCAAGCCGAGCACACAGGTTTCCAGAAAAACTGAACCTAACACCTTGACCTTGGACGTCTAGCTCCAGACTGTGTGAAAAGAAATATGTTGTTTAAGATAGCCAACCTGTGGGGCCAGTCAGTGGCATGGTGGTTAAGGTGCTGGATCCTACATAGCCCACTATAAAGTTCGAGTCCCAGACCAGTAACTTGAAAATCTCAGTGGGTGCCTGTGCAAGCCCCACATCCTGAGAGAATGGAGGAGGGATTTTGGCATGCTCGTCCCTCCAGAGGGTGCCTTTTTAGATCCCCTCTGAGGAGCACATGTGTCAGAGCAAATTACACACACACACACACACACACACACACACACACACACACGAAGACACCCAAGCCGTGAGGTGCTGTTACAGCAGCCCTAGCAGGCTAAGACAGTATCCCACAACTTATTTATCCTTTCACCTTTGATGGACATCTGGGTTGTTTCTAGTTTTTGGCAATTATAAATAAAGTGGCTACTTGGGCCCAGCAGGTGGTGTGGTGGTTAAGGGCGCTGGACTCCCACATGGCTAACTGTAGTTTGAGTCCCAGACCTGGTGGCTTGCTTTCTCACCCACCCCCACCCCCCCAACCCCTGTCCCTCTCTGGTAAAAGTTTAAATAAATAAATAAAATATTTAAAAAACAAACAAAACAAAGCTGCTATTAACATTTGTGTATAAAAATATGTTTTAGAAAATTTATTTAAAATACGTTAACTCAACTAATGTTTGTTAGCATCTGCCAGGCGTAACGTTCGGATACTGAGGATAGCAAAACAGCCACCTTGTCCTTACGAACAGTCTAGGGAGCCAGCAGGTGGCACGGAGGTGAGGGCGCTGGATCCCACATGACCAACTCTGAGATTCGAGTCTCAGAACCGGTGGCTTGAAAATCATGTTGGGTACTTGTGTGTGCATGCCCCAAATCCTGAGAAGGGTGAAGGGGGATTGAGGCATAGTTATCCTCCCTGGAGGGTGATTTCTCACTTTTCCTTTCTCTCTGTTTCTCTCCATTGAGCACATACACCCTATACCAGTTTTTTGTTTGTTTGTTTGTTTTTGTTTTTGTTTGTTTTTCTAAGAAAGCAAAAGCGGGGGCCAGCAGGCGGCATGGTGGTTGGGGTGCTGGACTCCCATATGGCCGACTGTGGTTTGAGTCCAGACCTGGCAGTTTGCATGCTCTGTCTCTGGTGAGCACATGTGCCTTGGATCAAATTTAAAAAACAATAATGATAAATAACATAATTCTTTTTTATAAAAAGCAAAGAATAAACCCCTCACAAACCTGGCCCAATCTCAGTGGCACACGCTGGTGACACCCTGTGTTGAGAGATTCAAGTTCGATTCCTGGACCAACCTCAAACCCAGGCGTGATGGCACACGCACTTATAGTCCCAACTCCTCAGGAGACTGAGCAGGAGGACATAGCACCCCTCATTTTTCTTTCTTAAATTAGCAACAAAACCACACACACTCACGCACACACAGCACGGTTCCCTGCTCAGCTCAAGTCGTTTCTACACCTGGGTGCTTGTTCCCACCCTCTCCCTTTGTGCAGTGGCAGTCCCACTCCTCCAGTGACCTGCCCAACTGGCACAACCCTTCTTGCCCACTGGTGCCTGGGCACAGAGAACTGTAATGTCCTGGCTTACAATTCAAAAGGACCAGGACTTCTGCCCCTCCAGATTTCAGAGTGAGAGGGCCAGAAAGCAGAAAGGGGTCAGTGGGATACACTCCTTGGGACTCAGGCCTGGGTGTCCGTCCTTCCTTGGGGACACAGCTCCATGCCTGGGTCTTTGGTTCAATTCATGCACTGAGTCCCAGAGGCAGTTACCATGTTCTTGGGGGACCACCTTTGATCTGGCATTGTGGCCGTGTCCTCAGTATGTCACCCTCGAGCTCTTGCAGCCTGGTAGCCTCAGCTCACACACTATGTCTGGCAGCTTTGAGGCCCACGGTCATGGGCTTCCCACTTTCTAAGCTGTGAGGCTGATCCTCTGGTCTGAGGTGATACTGGGTGGCATCCCATGCCACAGATCCCTCTCTGTGCCTGTGGATGGTGCAGCTAGTTGAGACTGCTCAGGAAAGGCAAATTCACCGCCTAATCAGGTGCCTCTTCCTGTGAGAGTAATGAGCAAGCTCCTGGGTCTGCTCCATCTTTCAGCCGACCATCAGGTGGCCGGTTGGCTTTCTCGAGGAATGTGCCATGCCGGAGACTTGGTGTCGGTCTCCATTGCAGGCAGCTTGGACCTTGGTGGCAGCACTGGGCCAACCATCTTGGTGAGACTCCATGCAGCTGGCCCATGGCTAGACCCCACCTCTGTCACCACAGCCCCTCTGTTCATGTCGCCCTCCTGCCAACACCAGGGAGGGCTGCTGACAGAGGCCAGGGGTTTATGAGGCATTGGACTACGTGGTTGCTCAGTTCCTTGACAGTGGTGGGCGCTTTCTCGGTGGGTGTTAACGTGTGGTACGAAGGTTCCTGCTCGCTTCCATTAAGTCCATCCCCGCATCTCCGTCCCAGACTCTTTCCTCCCTCTTCCTGTTGTTTTTCTGACCAGCTGGTCAGGTCATTTGTCACTGTGTTCTCTAACCTTAGGCCACTTCTCTTCCCCACACCGACTGGGCGGCCAGGTACACTACTCGAGCTTGGACTGTTGGGAGGATTGCCTTCACTGCTGTCTCAAGGTTGCCCCTGTGAGAACGTGCGGCCTGGCCACCACCCAGTTTCAGCTTGCACCCACGTGTGGAGCTAACCTCTCTGTGGAACAAACTGGGCCTTTTCATCCTTTTCAACTGGAGGTACAGGACCCCCTTTCGGCCGGAGGTGCGCCTTGAGCAAGGAGCTGGGGTGCAGCAATGGCAGATGACGGGGCTCTTGGTTCCCTGCTCACGCAGCCCGCTTGCTCCCACTGATGCAGCTTGCGCTCTATCCTGGAGGTACCACTTCCATCTGAGCCCCTCTGGCTGGTTAGCTCTGACAGGATCCAGCATTTCTTGGGCAGTTCTAGCCACAGGTCCTGGGGGAGCCTTGGCCAGACACTCATTCTCTCCCAGTGCACTCGCTAACAGGTTAGGTGCTTTAAAAGGCATGCCATTCTTCCCCGCAGGTGGCAAGGTCTTGCTTGCGCCCCAGGGGCTCGCACTGTGACTCTCACTGGGGCTCCCACCGACCCTCCAAGGTATCTTTCCCCACCATCAATAGCTCCACAGGGTCTCCTTAGGGCTGCAAGATCACATGGTCCATGACATAGGATCACTCGCATGACAGCCTGGGCCAGCTGCAGGGTTCCTTCCCGCTCTGTGACCCGCCCGGAGATGTCAGTCTGTCCTGTCACCTGACCTGAGGGAGCAGGATCCCTAGCCGTGAAACATGCTGACTCAAGGCCTCCCGGCACTGCCCTCCCCATAGTGGGAGGTACTAGATGCACTAATTTGCTTTTAACTTCAGAGGTGTCTTAGGTTAAATGGACTCCATTACTGGGCCCCTGAAAATATTAGAGATGGGGGAGGCTCCCGAATCTCCTCAGGTCTATCTCCACTCCCCTGGAGCACATGAACCTTACTTACCAAGGTCTCCAGCACGCCAGCCTCTTCTCGAAGACCGATCAGCACAGGGCCACTGACGTAATGAGCAACATGATGCTCTGTGATGTCTGGCTGGTCCAGACCTCGTTGGACTTGGCATGCCCTTGGAGCGCAGCTGTTCATGTATATTGCCATTGGCATGGAAACGTGAACTATTTCTGATCCCGCTTTGATTGGAAGAGAAACAGGTGTCACTAACTCAGCGACTGCACACCGCGCACTGGAAGGGGTACTGCCCCGGCCCACGGAGGCGTCACGTCTGCAACTGCACTTGCAATTGGGACTGGACTTGACTGAGCTTGCTGTGGTCTCCAGCGACCCTCCCTAATCCAGCCAGTTTCCTCAGGAGCCAGACTAGTCAATTAATTGGGAACAGAGGAGAGGCCTAGAACTCCGCCTCTGGTCCCTGACCTTCGCCCCCACAGCACGGCCTCTCCCTCCCTCCCTCCCTCTTTTCTCCTTCCGCTCCTCCGCATTCTGCCATGGCAAGCCTGGAATTTCAGCTGTGCCCAACAAGGGCCACTGTTTTTCCAGGTTTCTGACAGCCGTGCCAGTAGCAAGTCTGTACCGATTCCTAGGATCTTGGCTAGGGAGTGAAATTCTGTGCCTTAGGGGGACGCTGCCAAGTTAAACTTGTCCTCTCTAACCTTCTGTCCTGGTCTCCTTCTTCAAGCACCCCCAGGATCTCCTCCAGCTCCTGCCAGTCCACGCTGCCACTAAGGACAGGTCCTTTGGTGTCCAGTCCCTACTCTCCCGCGGGGTGGAGGCCCCGGGGTGCGCATGCTGGCACAGGAGGGACCGCCTTCCATCACGGACTGGGGAGGTTTATCTGCAGGCTCAGAAGGTCCTACGCTACGTGAAGTGGAATCTTTGTGCAGAACTACCAGACGTCGCCCTGTGGGGGGTCAAGTTTTCACACTTAGGGCCCTCACCTGGAGTAACAGACCTGCCTTGGCTGGCATGTAACCGTCTGAAGTTCTGCCACCTAAAGTCCTGGGCACGGCGCCCCTTTCCCTTCCCCCACTGCAGGGGATGACAGCGCCGTCCTCTTCGTCCACAGCCCAGGAGCCCTCTCTGGCTTCCACATCTGCTTTCAGCCGCCTGTAACCCACCCTCAGTCATTTATTACTCTCCGCAGGCACCAGCGACACTTAGCAACGGCCATCTGACCCCACTCCCACGGGCCTGAGCCTATCCAAGTGCTAGCTTCCCTCCAGCCACCGCTGACCTCACTAGCCAGAGGTTTAACAGCTGGAAGGGCAGGGAGGGAAAGGCTGGCTCCAGGGTGAGCACTGCTGACACAGCAGCCAGTGGGGAGCTGTTTATTACTGTTCAGTTCTTAATTCCTAAGACCCATGTTCCCTGGAGGGGAGGGCAGATTCCCAGAAACCAGCAATCAGTAGGACCCATCTTGTTGAGCAATCTGTGGTTGGCTATGTTTGCATTATGTGCGAAGGGACAGTGCTTGATTTTTTAAAAATGATTTTATTATTTTAAAATTTGCTACAGGGCACATGCACTCATATGAGAGAGAGAGAGAGAGAGCGAGAGAGAGAGAGAGAAAGTGAGAAAGCAAGCTGCTAGGTCTGGGACTCAAATTGCAGTCAACCATGTGGGAGTCCAGGGCCTTAACCACCATGTCACCTGCTGGCCCTGGTGTTTTAAAATTTCTTTCAAAAAATGGGTACATTCTGGGGACCAGCAGTTAGCGTAATGGTTATGTCGCTGGACTCCCACGTAGTTGACCACGGTTCACATCCTGGACCCGGTGGCTTAAAACTCATGCTGGGTGTGTGTGTGTGCATGCCCAAGATCCCGAGAGAATGGAGAAGGGATTGCGGCGTGACCATCCCCCCTGGGGGGTGATTTCTCGCTTTCTGTCTCTGTCTCTCTCTGTCTGGCGAGCACATGCGCCCTATAGCAAAAACCCCTCCAAAAAAAAAAAAAAGGGGGTACATTCTGATCTGACCAGACAGAATTTTAGAAGGCAGCAGTTAATTCACAAACCATGTACCAGTTTGGGTTGCTAAGCAGAAAAAGGAAAAAAAAAAATCCCCTTCCCTTTCAGAAACCCTGACCAAGGCCAATTTCGTACCACGTTGGTTTATCCTCTATCAGTGGGGCTGACGCCACAGGTCACACCACAAGACCCGCAGATGTGAGATGGGCCTTGCCCGGAGTGGTTGGCGAGGCCAGCTGTGATCTCGCACCCTGTGACTGCTCTACCTTCTTTTGGGATGAGAGAGAGAGGCCGAAGAAGCGGGGCTGCAAACGCTGTGGCGAGGACCAGCACAGTCGCGCTGCACAGAGCCCGATTCCACAGGGCATGAGTTCGCTAGGGAGCACGCAGCAAAGGGCCGTCCCTGCAGCAGGCGATCGGAAAAGCCAGGTACTCCATTTACTCAGCGCCTCGAACTGGCCGACTCCTGCAGTGACCTTTCAGTGCGGCATTTATGATGCCCCTACTCTTTACCAGGCATCCACAACACTTCAGGAAGTACGGCTTTTGTGACTTCCTGGTGACGACAGACCCCTCTGGAAAAAGACGCGTCTCCTCTCCCGGAATCATGTTCCCACTCGGGTTCCAGACTGGCTAAGACTGGAGCACAAGGGAGCCAGGGCAGTGTTCGGGGACTCCGGCTCACGGCCAGCCCAGCACACCTTTTGACTAGGGCTGCCCAGGGCTGGGCTGAAGTTTTCTAAGGATGCAAGTGCAGGAACCGTTTAGGTCCAGTAGTTGACAGGAACAAGCTTTGGAGCACAGATCTTCCAAGTATCAGCTGTATTTCTCGAACGGACACGAAAGCCCTGCATAACTGAACTTTAAAATTTGACTGGCCCATCTAGTAGGGAGTGTTTGAGACACCACAAATAAGCAATTCCTGTTTACTTCAACTGAAACAAGTAATACACAGTACATTAATTACTTGGGATTTAGTGAAGAGGCAGCGTTGGGAGTGAATATTGTCGACATGCTTAGTTCTGTGACCCGTTTCTCCTGAGGTACCTGGTTTCCCCCTCACTGGAGAAACTGGCCTAAGAGCAGTGGCAGGATAGTCTAGCACCAACCACACTTCTGGGTAAGTCTGTCCACACTGGGGAAAGGCCCGCAGGCTGCCCAAGTGGAGAGGCAGAATGCTACACCATTGCCACCCCCACTTCGGCTCTGTGGTCAATACGAAGTTTATTCCAATTGGGGGAAATTACATTTTATACAGAGAAACATCGACTGGGTTTTGGTGCTAACGCGTTACCCACGAACACCATTTCAGTGATTCCTGTGTGGGAAGCTGCCCCAATTGATGCAAGGTACAAGGATTCAGGGAAGACACTGGAAGTTCACTTATAACTCACTCTGTCATTTCTGAGGATGGCTGTGGCAGAGGATTCTGAAGAAACAACTCTTTATTTTTAAAAAGATGAATACGAAATTAGAATAGATCATTTATCTGCCTGGGAAGGAGCGAAGAATCTCCTCTAACTCGAGATAGGAAATTCAGCTTAACCTTGGGAAGCTGATAACCTAGTAATAGGGCAGTCTTTGCCTGACAGTGGTTTAGAAAAACAAATTTCCTCACTGTCCCTTCTTGTCTCCGTAGAGGCTGGTTCATGAAGTATTAACGAATGGTGAGCACGTGAGTTCGCATGTGCGCGCTCAATACACATGAATATTTTAAAAACTCAAGAACTTCGTGCCAGCAGGTGCTGTGATGGCAAAAGCACTGGATTCCCATACGGCTGACCACAGTCCGAGTCTTGGATCTGGCAGCTAGAAAACCATGCCGGGTGTGTGTCATGCATGCCACAAATCCAAAAAGGAGAATGGAGGGATTACAGTGTGGCCACCACCCCTGCCCTGGGGGATGATTTCTCACTTTCTCTCTCTCTCTGGTGAACATGCTACCCTGTGGAAAAACCATTAAAAAAAAAAAATCCGAGAACCTCACAATTCCTCTAGGAACAAAGAGAAACTAGATAAATAACTGAATCAAGGTATAAAATTGGTCATTATTCTCATAATTGTAGAAAAAGTGGGACCGGCAGGTGGCATAGTGGTTAAGGTGCTGGACTCCCACATGGCCGACTGCAGTTCAAATCCTGAACCTGGCGGCTTGCTTTCTCACTTTCCTCTCTCTCTCTTTCTCTCTGGTCAAGTAAAAAAATAATAATGATGAGTAAAATTACAAAATTCTTAAAAAGAAAAAGATCTAATGAAAAACTGTTCAGGGCT